CTCGCTCTGTTGCCCAGGCTGGAGTGCAGTATTGTGATCTTGGATCACTGCAACTTCTGCCTCCAGGTTCAAGCGATTCTCATGCCTCAGCCTCCTGAGTAGCTGGGATTACAGGCACACGCCACCATGCCTGGCTAGTTTTTTGTATTTTTAGTAGAGACAGGGTTTCACCGTGTTAGCCAGGATGGTCTCGATCTGCTGACCTCATGATCTGCCCATCTCAGCCTCCCAAAGTGCTGGGATTACAGGCATGAGCCACCTCGCCCAGCCTAAAATAAATTTTAAAATAAAATTTAAAAGGCTGGGCACAATGGCTCATGCTTATAATCCCAGCACTTTGGGAGGCCGAGGTGGGTGGATCATCTGAGGTCAGGAGTTGAGACCAGCCTGGCCAACATGATAAAACCCCATCTCTACGAAAAATACAAAAATTAGCCAGGTGTGGTGGTGCACACCTGTAACCCAACTACTCGGGAGGCAGAGGCATGAGAATAGCTTGAACCCAGGAGGCGGAGGTTGCAGTGAGCCGAGATTGTGCCACTGCGCTCCGGCCTGGGCGACAGTGGGTGCGGTGGCTCACGCCTGTAATTCCAGCACTTTTGGAAGCCAAGATGGGTAGATCAATCTGAGGTCAGGAGTTCGAGACCAGCCTGGCCAACATGGTGAAACCAGCATTAAAAATATAAAACTTGGCTGGGCATGTTGGTGGACTCCTGCAATCTCAGCTACATGGGAGGCTGAGGTAGGAGAAATCACTTGAACTTGGGAGGCCGAGGCTGCAGTGAGCCGAGACCATGCCACTGTATTCCAGCCTAGGTGACAGAGTGAGAATCTGTCTCAAAAAAAAAAAAAAAAAAAAAAGAATAAAAAAGATGAGGGAGTGGAAGAAAGAGTGGCAGCCTGTGGTTCGGGAGTTGTCACTAATGGGCTCCCCAGCTTCCTTTCTATCATGTCCACCTAAGATGCGACTAGAAATTTCAAAGCCACAAAATCCAAGGCTACTGAGCCATTTGTGCCTGGGATTGGGGAAGGCAGCCAGCTGGGCTCTCTGCTCAAGTGTTCTCCCTTGCATTTTGCCAGTTTGCTTTCTCTCTCTCTCTCTTTTTTTTTTTCTTTTTTGAGATGGAGTTTTGCTCTTGTTGCCCAGGCTGGAGTGCAAATGGCGTGATCTCGGCTCACTGCAACCTCCACCTCCTAGGTTTAAGTGATTCTCCTGCCTCAGCCTCGCAAACATCTGGCATTACAGGCACTCGCCACCACGCCCGGCTAATTTTTTATATTTTTAGTAGAGACAGGGTTTCTTCATGTTGGTCAGGGTGGTTTCGAAATCTCGACCTCAGGTGACCCACCTGCCTTGGCCTCCCAAAGTGGTGGGATTACAGGCATGAGCCACCGTGCCCAGCAGTTTGCTTTCTTATATGTTGTAGCCCTGGAAATAATTAACCCTCAAGAAGTCAAGTCTTGGCCAGGCATGATGGCTCACACCTATAATCCCAACACTTTGGGAGGCTAAGTCAGGAGGATCACTTGAGGCCAGGAGTTCAAGATTAGCCTGGGCAACATAGCAAGACCTACAAAAAATAAAAAAGTTAGCTGATCATGATGGCACACATCTATAGTCCTCCCTACTTAGAAGGCTGAGGTGGGAGATTGCTTGAGCCCAGAAGTTAGAGGCTGCAGTGAGCTATGATCGCACCACTGCACTGCATTGTGGTGACAGACTGAGACTCTGCCTCAAAAAAAAGCAGCAGCCAAGCCTCTGAGCTTTATTTAGAAAGTGAAAATTTCACTGGCAATAAAAAAAAGAAAGTGAAAACTTATTGAATAATGTTTCAGCAAACAAAACAATAATTTAAATGCTTACACTTAAAAAAAAAAAAGCTTGCACTTTGCAAATGTGTGTTCTAAAAGTTGACTATGCTTAGCTAAAATGGGTATGTCATGAGGAGTTTAACGAACAAGCCCTAGAAAAGCTTCAAAGAGCTCCCAGAATGCATAAACCTCAGCTGAGAAGAAAACAGAGCTTTTTTTCCTGTGACTTTGAACCAGTCCCTCAAATTTCAGGTGCCCAGTCTATAGGCACTGCCCGGGCAGTATCACGTCATTATACCCAGGTCTTTGATTGGTCGCTGTCTCCCTGCTGCCTTTCCCTCTCGTGCACTCTCCTGTGGATTTCTAAGGCTACGCTTCTTTCTTCCCCCTTTGCCTGAACTTTAGGCCTCTTTGCCGTTCCGCGGACCATGGCTCCCAGCCCTTCTGGAAGTCCCTGACCTAAAGACGAGGATGGCCTTTCTCTGGTGTAGAGATGGACCTGAAGCTTGCTCCCAACGCCTGCAGATCACCCTGCCAGGCCGCCCTCCCAGTCATCAGGGCACTACTCTGCTCAAAAACTTAATGTCCCCCCACTTGAAATCCGGCCAAGCTTACCCATCAGACCTGATTCACCACTTGGTCCTCACTCAGCTGTTTCTGAAATGCCTGGCCTCTGCTTCCGGCCTCTGCTGGTGCCTTTCCCTCCACTCAGAACCCTTTCCTTTCCCACACTTTCCCCCACCTATGTAGATCTCTTCAGCATTCCTGGCCCGGTCAAAGTTCCAGGGAACTTCCTCGAATGCCCCAGCCCGTATTCCAGAGCGCCTTCCCCGCAGGACTTCTGCTGGGCACCCCGCATCGTGCAGTCTGCGTTCCTTGACAGTGTCCTGCGTGAGTGGGGACAGCGGGTCCATGGAGTCACTTCTCCTCTTGGAAGCTTTTCCTGACCACTTCCCTCCCCACCCGGTCTGGGAGCCCTTCTGCAGGGCGCTGGGCCCTGGGCCCTTCCCGGCCCCCATCACCCTCACCACCGCCCGTCTCAGGACTGTCATTACCCCGGCCCGACGGCAAGCTGCCTGGGGCAACGGCGGCGCCAGCCTCGCTGTCCCGGGTGCCCCGGCCCGGGCCCAGGGCCAAGAGGGTGTTCACCGCCTGGAGTGAGCGGGGCCGGGCGTGTGGCAGCTGCTCCCAGTCCAGGTCTCAACCCCGGGCCGGGCGCACCTCGTGAATCCGCCGGGCCTGGGTGGAAAGGAGCCGGCGCGCGGCGGGCGTCCTCCCTGGAAGGGTTAAGCCACCTCTCTCCCACCCCGGGAGGTGAGGGGGCGAGTCCGGCAGAAGGTCCTGTTTACCGCGGCTCAGCGCTGGGCCGGGCCCTGGGAGAGGGGTTGCCGTGGCAACCGGCCGGGCGCCCGCCAGCTGCGGATTAGCTCACTGGGCCGGGCGGGATGGGTCTGGAGGAGGGGGCGTGCGTCGCGCAGATCGTCGCGGAGCCGCGGGAGGAGGAGGAGGCCGGGGCCGCGGGCGAGCCTGCGCTGGGCCGGCCGAGGGAAGCGCGCCGCCGGGGCCGGGGGCGGCGGGGACTCCACGGGAGCGCGCGCGCGGCGGGGACCCCAGGGGCTTGCGGGCGGCAGGGGGAGGCTCGGCGGACAAAGGGGCGGAGGGCGGAGGGCGGAGGGCCATGGCGTCCCCGGCCCCCGCCGCCGCCCGCCCCCGCGCCGCGCCGCCCGCCGTCCCGGCCCGCCCCAGAGCCCCCGAGATGCGCCCCGGAGCCCGCGGAACCGCCGCTCGCGGGGAGGTAGGGCCGTCCGGGCAGGGCAGGGGGGTGCGGGGTCGAGCTGGCGAGGGAAAGGGGAGGAAGGAGGGAACGCGCGCGGAGGGAGGAAACGGTTCGAGCGGTCCGAGCCCTGACGGGGGAAGCGGCTCTGCGAACGGGAGCCCGAGTTCCCTTGTGCAGCCTGGGGGCCGTCCCGTCTGGTCGCGGGACTTGTGCAAAGCTCGGTCCAGACGTCCCTCCCGGGCTCGGGCTGACTCCCGGGGCTGAGCCCGGACGCCGCCGTCCCGCGCCTCTGGGACCTGCAGAAACTTGGCAGACCCCCACCCTGCGCTGTACTGGGTCCCCCGGGGCGCGAGTGTGAGTGTGTGTGTGTGTGCGCGCGCGCGTGCGCGCGTGTGTCGGCGTGTGTGTGTGTGTGTGTGTGTCTGAGCGACTGTATGTGTGTGTGCTCACGCGTGTATCTGTGTGCGAGTGTCTGTGAGTGCCTGTGTGTGTGTGTGTGTGCGAGTGTGCGTGCGTGCGTGTAAGCAAGGGGAATCGGCAGCTGAGCACCCGAGCCCCCCTCTCAGCCGTCAGCATTTGCAGTCTTGAGAAAGCAAGAAGGTAAAGATGACGGAATGGTCTTACTTCTTCCACTTTGTCCCCAAGGGTGGAGTTGGGAGAAGATGGAGCCCAGGGGAAGTCTTTTATCCACACAGGACACAATTGTATTAGGAGAGTCACAGAGATCTGGGTGAGACCACGCAGTAGAGCCAGACCTCAGCCGTGGAATCTTGTCCTAGGGGGCCTGGGACAGGAAGCAGGAGAGCTCTCCAGGGGCGTAGATTGAGCAAGGGAAGTGCAGTGACCCTGGCTTAACCAGCTGGTGCTGACTTCCAGCTGCTGTTCAGATGCGATTCAGGGGTGTAACTTCCCCAAGGTTCCAAATGACATGAGGGGTAACAGTGTTATAATAGGCGTGCTACAATAATCGTGTTAGTAAACTCTTACACCCTCTGTGGTTACCACATAAAAGGAGAGAAAGAAATTCCTTCTCTTTGCATCATCAAATACCAGATACCAGAGTGGAGTAGACAGTCTTTGGGTGAGCATCGTGGGATGGAGCAGAGCTCCGAGAGGAAGTGGGTGTGAGTGTGCAAATGTCTGTGTGTGAGTGTGTGGGTCAGAGACAGTTTGTAAGGCCCGGTTATGAAAATGCCGGTGGGAGGGTGGCTTCTAGTCTTTTTTTTGTTTTTTTATTTTTATTTTTTGAGATGGAGTCTTGCTCTGTCACCCAAGCTGGAGTGTGGTGGCTCAATCTCGGCTCCCTGCAACCTCCACCCCCTGGGTTCAAACAATTCTCCTGCCTCAGCCTCCCGAGTAGCTGCAATTACAGGCACCCGCCACCACGCCCCGCTAATTTTTGTATTTTTGGTAGAGACGGGGTTTCACCATGTTGACCAGGCTGGTCTCAAACTCCTGACCTCAGGTGATCTGCCCCTTGGCCTCCCACAGTGCTGGGATTACAGGTGTGAGCCACTGTGCCTGGCCTCCCTTTATTCTGGAAGATTAATAAACTCCTGTGTCATGTATTCTATTCATCCCCTTAAACAGCTCTGTGTGCTAGGCGTGTGTGCTAGACATCAGTGGCACAGAGAGGAATGAGACATCCCCCATCCTTCCAGGAACACCATCCTAGCTGAGTAGTCAGAAAAGTAAAACCAGTCCTGGCCTGGCCTGGCCTGGCTGTGTGGGCTGCATAGCATACAGCTAGGGCAGCCCAGAGGGGAGCTGGTGTAGGGAAGCCCCACAGAGTAGGTGATGCTTGAGCTAAGCCCTGAAAACTGCCTCGCCAAGGAAACAGCTGGGAAGGTTATTTCAGGCTGAAAGAACAGCACATGCAAAGTCACTAAGAGCGTCTAGTGGAGGCCAGTAAATGAGTGGCTGCAGGCTGCCGGATGTTAGTGCATCCTGGGGAGGGGTGAGGCAGGGGCTTTCAGGGCAGAGGCATAGGGAAGGAAGGACTCCTTCTGCTTGTGGGGTGGGGAGGCTGGAGGAGGAGGAAACCAAGGCTTTTTGCAACACCCAGGCCAGAATTACTGAGGAGCAGGAGAAGCTGAAAGGATGCCAGAGATCAAGAGGCAGGACCTGGTGACTAGTTTGGGCACAGAGCGTGATAACTTAGACTAAAACCAAGTCAGAAATGCTCAGGAGAAAACAAAGCGGAGTGAAAGGAATGCGGACCTTTTGAGCGGCCTGCGTGTAGCAGATTACAACACTTGGACAACACATTTGGCTGTAAGTTTTCTGGCAGCTTAGGGACAAACAAAAATACACTGGGTTGCATGGTTTGGGATTTTGCACAACAGAAAGCATACAAATTCTCAGAACAAAATTGTTCCTGGAATTGAACTCAACTGGGAATTTATCATGTGGAACTTTATGTAAAGACTAAAGAGTGACATAGAAAAAAATCCTCATTGCTGGTGTTGCAAAAGATGGGAAGATAAAACTCCCATCACTGCCCTCCTCTACTATCCTGTTATGTCTGGGGGACTGAACTGCACTTCCATGAGGGCTGGGTGTCATCTTAGGGTATGGGGTCAGGGGAATCTTGTACAGAGGAGACAGTGGTCCCTCGAGTGCGGGAAGAGCTGTCACCCATCTCTATGAATGTAGAGAGCAAGGCATCTGGGGTGCTCAGCCATGAAGAGAAGAAGGCTCATCGTAGTATAGCCCAGAGAGGGGTGGGCTGAGACTCTTGTCTGGAGAAGGGGACAGGTAGGGCATAGCATGTTTGGAAGGGCCAGCATCCAGGAATCCTGACCCCCACGGAAACAGGCAGGGAGAATGGGCACAGCATTGTAGGATTCCATTCATATGGGCAAGTCCACTCTCCAGGGTGGTCCTGATCTTTCTGCCTCCAGACTTGATGTAGTGCCTCCATCTAAAGGGGTAGGTAGAGGGTGGGACTCAGGAGACCAGAGATCCTCTTCAGGAGACCAGTTTGCTGCAACATGAGGAATTTGCAGAGGAACCAGGAGTGGGAGCTGAGAACTCGGGGGTCCTGCAGACTTAGGCGCAGATCTCCTGGCCAGGCCCTTCCCTTTGGTTTCTGCAGAAGGCAGAGAACCTACAGAATCTATGTCCATATACTGCTAATGTGTTTTAACTCTCAACTTTAAACTACTTCTTGCCAATTATAGCTATCTTAAATTAACATTCAGTTGGTGTGGCATTCTACCCGTCCAATCACATTTCTTAACATTTATCTTGGGGTGCACATTAAAATATACATTTAAATGCTGGGGAGGAGAGTTTGAGACCAGCCTGGGCAACATAGCAAGACACCATCTCTACAAAAAAATAAAAGAGATTGGCCAGGCACAGCGGCTCATGCCTGTAATCTCAACACTTTGGGAGGCCGAGGCAGGCAGATCACTTGAGGTCACGAGTTTGATACCTGCCTGGCCAACTAAAAATGCAAAAATTAGCCAGGCATGGTGGGCCATGCCTACAATCCCAGCTGCTTGGGAGGCTGAGGCAGGAGAATTGCCTGAACCTAGGAGGTGGAGGTTACAGTGAGCCAGGATTGCGTCACTTCATTCCAGCTTGGGTGACAGAGCAAGACTCCATCTCAAAAAATGAATGAATAAAAAATTAACCACGCAGTGGCACATGCCTGTAGTCCCAGCTACTCGGGAGACTGAGGTGGGAGGATCACTTGAGCACAAGGAGGTTGAGGCTGCAGTGAGCTATGATTGTGCCACTGCACTCCTGCTTGGGCGACAGTGAGACCCTATGTCAAACAAACAAAAACAAAAAACAAACAAACCAAAAATGCTGGGGAGGGAGATTTAAAAACAACTGATACTCTAGGTCAATTAAATCAAAATCTCTAAGAGTGGGCCTTGGCGTCAGTATTCTTTTAAGGTCCCCAGATGGATTTCAAGGTACAGCTGAGGTTGAGAGTGGCCGCTCTAACAGTCACCTATAAAGAACCCATCACAGGGAGGGACAGAAACCCAGATTCTAAAAGATCCCAAATGGGGCACATGGGATGCCTCACAGGTCCTCAGAAATGGACAAGGCTGGCCCTGCTTGTGCCTGGTGTTCCACACAGTCTCCTGGGCTCCTGGTCTGGCTGCTTCCCCCCGAGGTCTTTGCCGGCCTTCTGTTCCTTCTGGCAGTCACCTTGCTGAAGACTGGGGGTTAGGAGTTGCTTCCCTGGAGCTGCCCTGGATTGCTCTTTCTTGGAGAGATTCTAGTGAAACTGCTTTTCCATGGGTTCATTGTGCAGCCCCTTTCAGGCCGTGACCTCTCACTGTCCTCACCAGTGCCTCTCTGCCCACACATATTGTTGCTCTGTGACCCCAGGAGCCTGGCCCTGGGCGCTGAGGTCCTTCTTCTGCCGCCTAAACCAGACCGCCTCCACTTATACCCCCGGCTCTCTTGAAATTCCCTGTGCTGGTTACTCAGGGAGAAGAATGCCAGGCCCCACTGCCCCCTTTAATGATCAGAGGCAAGCACTGCCTGGAAGTAGGGCAAGCCATGAGCGAAGTTCTCTACTTTCGATGTGCAAAAGACAGCAACATGCTGGGAAGCCAGAGTCAGACTCTCCTGTACCCTCGCCTTAAAATCAGTGTCTGACGTGGGCAAAAGTTCACTCCATCAGCCCTCAGTTTGCCTGGAAGTTAAGCTCTTTGCCAGCTGGGCACATAATTGCCACTCTGTCTTCAGCTTCTCTTTGGCATGTTTGTCACTAGCTTGCAGTTCAGAGGGGCTAAAAGACAGATAAGCCCAAGACCCACTTTTCCAACTGGCTGAACTATGGGAAACCAAGTGATTGTTTTTTTTTTCCCTGGCCTTGAGGGAAGGAAGGGGTGAGTCACTCTTGTAGCAAGCTTAGAGAAGAGGTTAGCTTCCCTCAGTGGCAGGGAACCAGGAGGTTATAGGCACTCCTTCAGAAGGAAATGAAAGCAGGGATAATCAGCTGGAGAGTGAGACCAGGACAGGGAGCTGTGACCTTGGCTGTGACCCCT